CTTGGTAATCTTCCTAAGTTATCTTCACTCCTTGGTAATCTTCCCAAGTTTTCATTCCACTCCTTGGTAATCTTCCTAAGTTATCTTTCACTCCTTGGTAATCTTCCTAAGTTATCTTTCACTCCTTGGTAATCTTCATCGGTTATCTTTAACTCCTGGATCCTTCACAGACGCCGTCTATTGTGAGTTATCCATAATACACAACTTCCATAACATGACTCTCCACCTTGGCCTTGTTGCTGTCTGCTTCTCCTGTCACATTGTTCCATGTTTATACTCCTTAAAACACCGCTGACTTGACATGGCTTTCATCGAGATTCTCCTCACGTACAATGTTATAATGACCAATAAGCCGAAACCTCGTCCTCTTTCATTTGCCGTTTGAAATCTAATAGTTTCTGTCTGTCATGGCATTTTATTTTGTATTTCATATTGTGTTGAAAGTCACACTATGGTATAGAAAGATGTACCAGTACTGCTTCTCATTTTCCTTTCGTCTCACTTCATGTAGCACAGCTATATTCTATATAATTCTACCAAAACATTTTCAAGTCATTCTTTTTATGTTTTGCGACTTAGATTAGTACCAGTCTCGTGATTTGTGGACGGTGGCTCGAGCCTTCACCGTCCCTAGTGCTGAATGACCCAATGACTGCAATGCTCACGTACAAGTTTATATGTAGCCTCTTCCAAGTTTTGCTCTCCGAGCGCTCCAGAACTGAGGAGCTCGTGAAGATGGATGATTTGAAGATGTCTGGAAGAGTAATAAAAGACAAATATGAAGTGGGATGACTGTAATGACTAATAACAAGAATACGTTCAGCATGAAGTGGGATGACTGGAATGACTAATAACGAGAATATGCTCAGTATGAAGTGGGATTACTGGAATGACTAATTACAGGAACGTACCTATATTGAAGTGGGTTGACTGGAGAATGAAGTGGAATGAAGTGTGTTAAGAGGTAGGGCTTTTGAACTGGGTTATGAGGTGGACGGGTTGACTACAGACAGTGGATGTGGAGAGTCTGGTGCCACTCGGGTGTTACTGAGGCAGACACTGAGCACGTCAAGTGTGTCAGGTACTCACTCTTACTGCATCTGAATGAATGGCACAAGTTTTATAATACTTTCTTAACTTCAGACAATCTCAACTCATACCTTGGGGAAGAAAGTAGATAACTTCTCAAAGTATAAGAAATAATAAACTTTTATGTACGTGGACACTTGCAAACGTTGCTACTTTAACTTTTAGAAGGTAAAAGTTATTTCAGTTTGACTTTAAAGTTCGCAGCCTTTACAAGGAGTGGTAATTCCTTTGAACTGGATGTTTCAGTCAGAGTAAAGCTTGGCTATTGTTAACTACTGCTTCAAAAGATGGACTGTGTTGGCATCTGGAGATCACAGGACCTCTCACGTTAATGCTGAACGAGTTCCCCACTTAAGGCGACTGTAAACTATTGTCTTCTCAGCGATTCTATGTTGATGCTTCTCAGTGATTGATTTATACACCTGTGTTCTGCCTATATGCCATCCAGGGCATTTTCAGTTTGCCTCCCTGACTGCTTTGATCAGCATCACTGATTTCTTCCTTCCTGGGGCTTATCATGTCTTCTCATGGAGTTGTGTATTAATTTTAGTTTAATGAAATATGCTGGGAAGATAGAGTAACATGGATTTGAACCAGTCTCTCCGGAGGATTAACTCTGGCAAGGAAGTATATTAAAGACACGTACCATTAGGGACAAAGAAGAGAAGATGCAAGTTAGAAAAAGGTACTTCCTGTACAGGCGATAACGAAGAATCACAGAACTTCTCAAAAGTTCCAGACTGTCTGAAGAACGCAAAGAAACGCCGACCAGAGGAATGAAAAATATTAAACTTGAATGAATCATATAAAGTCCAGGAGAGACGAAGACAGCTACAAGTAAAGAAATTGACCTGGGACCAATCGTCGGGGGCCTTGATTCCCGAAACCATCTTCAGGTAAACCACTTCCTCATCCAAATCATACCACTGTTCATTCATATTGAGGTCTTGTCTAAGACCTGGTCTTAGACAACACAACTTATATCTTGAGAACTATCACTAATTTACCATATCGTATATCTTTTGAAAATCTACAAATGCAACAAATATTTCATTTTGTGTTTCACTGGACACATCGTAGTGTTTGATTTCGTAATGTTCATGCTAGGCGTTACTAGGTTAATGCAGTAATGAGCGTACACTATACCTGTATACAATACATGTATTTTTAGATTTATAAATGTAGAGCGGTACTCTTTAGTTTACTTGCAGAGTTAATGTCATGTTTTGTAATAACGAAGATATCCACATAAGTTCCATTTCTCCTGTGTGGGGGAAGCGACGTACTGAGGGTTGGTACTGTAGTTCTCAAGTAATAAAATCATCAGCTCTACCTAAACGATACTCTTGGAAGCTACTGTTGGCTACTGATCCCTTAGTGCGAATGCTTGGTGATATCCTCATCACCCAACTGAATTCTCTTTGCTCGGGCTGACACACTTCATCATTTGATGTATGAAACCCACCCTGTATGATGGAATACGGAATATGATGTGTCTAATGTTGCTAAGGAAACAGTGAAGAAACTATTGATACACACATGGTTTGTCTATGTCATCATGATCAATCATCATGATCCGTTCATTCTATATGTATTTCTAACATTATTGTTTGTTGCGCTTTATAATAAGGATCGGCTCTCGCTCGCTCGCTCTCTCTCTCTCTCTCTCTCTCTCTCTCTCTCTCTCTTCTCTCTCTCTCTCTCTCTCTCTCTCTCTCTCTCTCTCTCTCTCTCTCTAACACAGGGTTTGACAAGGTTAGGTTAAGGATCTCTAGCTTTATTGACAAGCTATTTACAAGGATTCCTAACTTTATTGACAAGTTAAGAGCTGTTACCTACATCAGCTCATTTGGAAGCATTTTTGTTATGAAACATACAAGTAGGGAACAGGATGAAATTGGAGCCATCTCTTGGCCAGCATTTTCATTTGATTAACTGACTTGATCTCGTTGACATCTCTCTCTCTCTTTCCACACAACTAATGCACCACTCGTTCCAGTACGTTATTTCCATTTGTTTCCAACCTTGCAGTCGTAATGCCGTTCATCCATCATTCTTTCTTAACTTTTAACTTATTGCTTCACTCACTATTTTTCTGCACGTTAAAGATTCCTTATCATTCCTTGTGTCAAAATTGAAACTTCATCATTTATATTAAAAATTTTAAACAATTTTAAAAATATATTTTACAATTTTATCTTGTTTATCACCAAAGAAATATCTATATGCTCAACAAAATCCAATAATAATATCTCTTCACCTCCATTATTTTATTTTTGATCGTTTGTCCCTCTCTCCATCACTAGCCTCGTCGTCTTCATAGTGTCGGTCTTCTGTCATTTTTATAGTGTAAAACTTTCGTATACCAACTTTTTCTCTCTTTCCACTGTCGTGATCACTGTCACTTTAACCAACTCTTCAACATTTTTCGTACCTCTCACTAACAGTGTTTCTTTTTTCTTCATTCATTAATTTACGCTGCTCATTTAACTGCTGACACTATTGTAGCTTGTGTTCTACCAGCCTCTCTGACTTTCTGCACTCTTCTCACCTCCTGCTGTATAAACAATAATTACCTTATTACAGTTGTTTAGTCAGCATTACAGCACACCATCTTAATCTCTTTGATATACTTAAGTCCTTAACTCCTTCATCTTTGTTTCACTCATTCCCAGAACATTCAGGTTTTTTCATTCATAACTTTAAAAATGAGCCGTTTCATAACATCTGTACTTCAGAAGTGCGCAGTCAACAAATCGGCCTCTTTTTTATTTTCTCCTTGGTAATTCCATTCGGGAAGATAGTTAAACAATGTTTTGTAAGTGGTCTGTGTGAACAAGTGGTACAGACAGTCAAGTGGTACAGAAAAGCAAGTGGTCCATGCAGTCATGTGGTACAGACAACCAGGTGGTACAGGCAAGCAAGTGGTCCATGCAATCATGTGGTACAGACAAGCAAGTGGTCCATGCAATCATGTGGTACAGACAAGCAAGTGGTACAGATAAGTCGATGGTACTGACAAAGCAAGTAGTACTGACAAGCAAGTGGTCCTAGGAAGTTTCAGCTGTTGTTAAGATAGCTACACATCTGATATATAACATTGATTAATCCAGAGTAAACGTTCAATAAGATGCAAACAATAGCGTAGTTCCCCCACCCTCCGTTTGGCTGTAGAGGAGGGTGGTCGCTACTCTCCACATGTGTGTATTGGTTAGTCAAGTCTCAGGTACTTGCACTTGAAGTGGCTGTGTGGAATCGAATACATTATTGTAGTGTTCGGGCCACATTGACGGGATTCGTGTACTGAATTGGCTGGCCGTGGTCATCCAAGGCATTGTAACCCCTTAGGCTTCAGGGAAACATGTTTGCATGTTTACACCTGAAAACGATGATAATGGGTGTAGTTTTGTGCAAGAGTTGTAAATAATGAGTCTTGGGACCTAGATGTGTGTGAGGTATGTAGAGAAAATCAACAGATGTGCACCATCAGTGGTGTGCTGGGTGGGTCGTGCACCTGGTGTATATCAGAGTGCACACCTCACCACTGGGTGGGCAAAGGGTCCACTTGTTATTTGAGAGACAATATGTAAATAGAAAACCTTTATGTAAAGACTATGTTAAGCTCTAAACAGAGCTTTATCAAGTCTGATAAAGCTCAGTTTAATAAAGGTTTGCTCTGCACATAGTATCTCTTCGCCATACTCGACGGCAAGTCTTGCCTCTATACGAGACTTGTCTTGTTGCAAGTGTGTGTCATCCAGTACTTGTCTAGTTGCTAATATAGGCCTTCGTGTGTGTGTGTGTGTGTGTGTGTGTGTGTGTGTGTGTGTGTGTATGTTTGGTGTGTGTTGCAGAATTGAGGGACGGCCAGAGCGGAAGTTGAGTGACTCGGAATGTGTGGGTCTTTGCAGGCGGTGACGGAGTGCTGGCCAGGAGGAAGAAGGCTCCGTTGAGGGAGTTAAGCTGTGTCGCGCCTCACACCCCAGGTATGGTGCTACATTGTACCCTCACACCGCAGGTATGGTGCTACATTGTACCCTCACACCCCAGGTATGGTGCTACACTGCCTTTCACTCACACCCCCAGGTATGGTGCTACACTGTACCCCTCACACCCCAGGTATGGTGCTACACTGTACCCCTCACACCACACGTATGCTTCACTCTACCCTTCACACACATCCCAGCTATTGTTTGAACACTACATCGCTTTACAAATGCTGCACTCTCCTTGATACATGAAGAATAGGTGGTGTCTCCTAAAACTTCGTTTTATGAGGCAAAAACTGATACTGAAAAGAAAACCAAACCAAGAGATAAGACGTGTTAGAGAACCAAGGTGAGTAACAGAAAGGGAAAGATGAAAGAGGAATGGGAAGTGGAAGATAGGATAGCACAGGAAAACATACCTGAGTAGTAAAATAACCCAGTCTTGAGTCCCACCTCTTTTCTCACCTTCATCTCGTTCCCTCTACCCCTTCAACTATATTCTTACCCCTTCTATTTCCTCACATGTTTCCCCGTCTCTTTCAGCAATCACCTCCAACCCTCACTACACCACTACAACCCCACTCCACTCCCGTTAATCATCAGCACTATTAATCCCTACCCCATCCTTTCATGAGTCAAAAACGTCACTACTTTATCCTAAAATTCCCTCCTGATTTTATCATCCTATCATGCTCCATGCTACCAAATATCCCTTCAGCACAACCCTGTACATTGAAACGTACCAACCTCATTGAAGCGAAAACAAACACAATGTGTAGATAATCTAGAAGATAGCTAGCGGGAGAAGAGGCTTAGAAAATTTTATTTCAACAATCCAAGAATTGTTTGCTATGAAATGAGCACTGAACTAACAAACATTCCCTGAGAAACCGTCCTCAACGCTCGTAACCCTGGACAGTGTATGGAAAAATTCAGTGTAGAAGCCTACAAGACCTTACGGAAGATGGAAAAAAAAAGCTACTTAAGTGCTCAAAAAACACCACAAACACGCCGGAAAAACTTATTCTGATACATTGCAGATATAAAACACAAGAAAATGTCATTCAGAAAATTGGAAATATACTAAATATATTTTTCACCTAAGCAAAATCCAAGTCAAGAACCTCTGGATATTGGTCCACTACCCAAAGGAGATCCATATACAGGAGCAACAAAGAAATGAGAGGGAAATCCATAAAGAACGTTATGAATCAGTGTTCAGCAACCTAGTCGATACCATCATAATTGAAGATCCAGATTATTTCTTCAATAACTTGCCCACACTACAAATTATATATCTGACATTAACATAAATCTTCCAGACTTAGAAAAGACATAGATAACATGCCCATACACGGAGCACTTGGGCCTAATTCCAAGAATTTGGTAGCTGTAAAGAAAGCACCATTTTCACTGAGCACTGTTTGTTATAAGTGGTTATATTCAAATGAAATTCCAGAGTCAGCAGAGGTGTTGAGACGCCAATTTGGTGCTGCGTAATAGGCTACAACGTGAATATTTGCAATATGGATGTATAATAAAAGGCTGTGATGGCTATACGGGCCACTGCCACCTTGAACAGTCACTCAAGGAAGCTTGGGGAAAACCGGGCTGTTAGGGGTAGAAAAGTTCTAGAAATTGGTTATAGAAACATCACAAGTACCCTGCTAACCTGTGACCCCTGAGGACTCCCCACCTGTGACCCCTGAGGACTCCCCACCTGTGACCCCTGAGGACTCCTCATCTGTGAACCCTGAGGACTCCTCACCTGTGAGCCCTGAGGACTCCTCACCTGTGAGCCCTGAGGACTCCTCACCTGTGAGCCCTGAGGACTCCTCACCTGTGACCCCCGAGGACTCCTCACCTGTGACCCCCGAGGACTCCTCACCTTTGACCCCTGAGGATTCCTCACCTTTGACCCCTGAGGATTCCTCACCTGTGACCCCTGAGGACTCCTTACCTGTGACCCCTGAAGACTCCTCACCTGTGACCCCTGAGGACTCCTCACTATCATTTAGGGACTCTTCACGTTACGTATATGCAAGTCTAATACCTCCCATCACTATCCCTACCCTCATATATCTTGCTGAACATCATGTCCCACACTAACCCCATGTTCTGCCTAAGCCCCTCAGTTCCCTACAGAAACACCAATACCTGCAGCTGGTATTGAGAGTTCTACTCTCATACTTCTGCCAGTCTTTACTGATCTGGCACTTTCTACAATGAACTGATTCAGTTTTTTCTTGGAAATTTCCACCTTTGTTCCACAATATCTGCTGGTAAAAGGTTGAAAAGTTTTCATTTACTGATGTTCATGTAGTAGTCATATTGTGCTTATGACACCTCTGCTTTCTGCTAGCTTTATTCTACATATCCACTCATATGTCTCACTCCGGCAGTCGGTTATGATGGTGCACGTGTTACACCAGTTTCTCACTTGCAGTATCTACCAAGCCTCCCACTCATCGGGAGTATTTTCATTTTGTAGATTTGGAGAGTCATTACTTGATTTCCTGGGTAGAAATTATGATGTATCCTTCTCTTCTTAAAGGATAAAGTATAAAAGGCTAAATATTAACAAGCGAGAAGGCTGAAGAGGAATACCGAAGACACGGAGGTATACGAGAATCTATATAGAAAATTTAGAAAGGTATTCTTAGAGAAACGAGAAATGACCTCAATGAGCATAGCCAGAGCAAGTTAACTCACACTCGAAGACATCCACAGAACAGTAGAGAAAGTGAAGAAAATATTAATGGAACTAGACACAGCAAAACCTATGGTACCTAACAACGTACTCTGATGTGTAATGAGGGAACTGTAGTAGGTTCGCCGGTCTTGTCCCGGCTCGGGTCTTCTCCATAATGAGGGAAGGAACGGAACTTCTGCGGGAGACGGAACTACCACCAGACAGCTGCACTGAACTACAGGCTGGTATCAATCTCTTGTTCCATGTCTATAGTAATGGAGAAATTTATCAAGGGAATACTGGGGACACCTGGAGAGGAACTGCTTCGTCAGTGAAAACCAACAGGGATTCAGCCGTGCAAGATCCTCTCATGAACCTACTGGAGTTGTATGATACGTTAACCAGGCTAGAACAACCACCCGGGTTGTAAAGGAAAGACTCAGTGGATTGAGGAGCACTTTAAAGACAGAACAGTGACCATATCGGGGAAACTGCCAGGATGGACGTGTACGAAAAATTGAGTCCCACAACTATCGGTATTGACTACTACTGTTTGTAACCAAATTGTATGTCTTAAGATAATATGATTATGGTTTTGAGAGAACAGACGCATCTGCAAGTGATGAAAAGTTAATAAGATTTGCAACCAGGCTGGTTCCAGTGAGGGGAGGGTATGCACTATGAAAAAAAAAAAAAGACTGAAGGAGCTTAGTCTGATGATTATAGAAGAGAAGATGAATAGGGAAGATATTATTGTGCCGTAAAAGATACAGAGGAATTAATAGGACATGTAGGGACAGAGTTTGAATGCGAGGACCATGTGCAAAGGAAATAGGTAGATGGAAGCTTATAACACAGATGATTAACAGAAATATTAAGAAATATGTTTTCAGTCTCGGAGAAGCAGAGAAGCGGAAAGAACTGATGTGAAAGTGATAGAAGCGAACGCCGTATATAAAGTGGAGTTGAGAGAGAGAGAGAGAGAGAGAGAGAGAGAGAGAGAGCAAGAGGTCAGGACATATGACTCGATTATTGTAAATACATACATACATACACATTCTCTCTCTCTCTCTCTCTCTCTCTCACACACACACACACACACACACACACACACACACACACACACACACGTACAGCATATAAGAAATCACCCCAGTCCCTCAACACAGGATGTTGTTGCTCTTTTCTGGTGATGGTTAGTAGTGGCGATAGTAGTAGTGGTTGTAGAACCTTTGTGGTGTGTATCTTATGGTGGTGGCTAGTAGTGGTTGCAATATGGATGTAGTTTCTTCCCGCCTTAGGTTGTTGTTTTGATGGTGGTAGCAATTGTTCGTAGTGGCAGTAGTAACTAATAATAAATTCACGGAAAAGTGCTAAACCTGTAAAGGTCTTATGGGGATAATCAGGCTTGATCCGAGGAAATGGAAGGTAGCTCCATTCCTTGGATCGAGAGCCCTTCACCAGCATTGAGCATCCCAGTGGAAGGGCGTAGTGACTGTAGTAATAGTAGTATTAGTAGATGTGGTAATGGTTGGTGGTGGTGGTGGTGCTTCCTGCTTCCTTCTCTGGCTTTGTAGCACTAATATCTCCTGTTTGCCTTTTCACTCAACGCGAGCTTGCTCAAGTGCACTCAACCTTCTACAAGAGGAGCATTTTCTCTCTTCATCATGACTAAACTTGCATTTGGTTATAGTATAAATGAGTTCATTAAGTGCTCATTTGTACACAAGTGTTTTCATGTATATAAAAATGTGAAAAATGTTTGCAATTCATTTTGATGCATCTCTGAATCATTTAAGAAATGTGTATATATTGTGGTGGAATTTATTCCACCGACTGAAGCCGCTTATCTCTCGATAACTGTGAAGTTGAATCACTGTAACGGTAACACCTCTCTACCCAGAGGGGGCATAGGGGAGAGAGTTAGCGTCTTTCCCCTCACTTGCCAGGACAGTAGAGGTCGCCGGATAACCACATGGACAAGACCCAGGCCGAGACTGTGCCGGTGAATCGAACAGGAGTAGAGGCCATAGGAGGCGAAGTTAATATTTCCCCAACCTCTGATTTGGGTTCGAACGTCTATTCAAGCACTGAAGTAAGAGAGTATATTGACTCATTTAAGTGATTTAGTGGACTTCTGGACTTAAGCTGGCGTTCACACTCAGGAAAGTGGACTGATCTCGTAGGAAGTGCCGGCGCATTGGTTAGGCCGAGTGTCAACTGAAGTGATTTGGTGACATTGAGATACGGTGATCGCTCATCATTTAGCCGGACAGAAGTTAATGGATGTCCTGTGCTGATGTCT